TTCTAGCAGCACAATTGGATATCGCGATATCAGAACTTTCCAGACGTGTCTGATTGCGCGGCTCGGGACGCAATCGACAGATCGCCTCAGGTCGGGGCAATCCCAGGCCATCCGATCCGACCCGACCCGATCGGACGATCTGAGGCGATCAAACGCCCGATCTAGACCGCGTCCTTTGGATTTTCAAACCACTGGTTTAATTAAACCTTAGCGAAGCATTCTAGTTTTGGGCAGATGAGACTCTCAACTCCATCCCTGGCCTCTGATTTAGTAAAGTAGTTTTTCTTGATTTCAGTTTCTTTTCAGTCACAATGATTGCTGAGTGCACACAGTGAGTTCGGAAAACTCGTACGGAATTTCCATTGTGCATGAATTTGAAAGGTTCACAAGTTTGAAGTCTACTAACTACAGTATCGCATGCGGCAAATGTTTGAAAACTGCAGTTGCCCAAACCGAGGAGCTTTGTACGTGTATTGCATGTAGAATATCCTCTCGTTCCGAGAGAATGGTTGTCCCTAGGTAATTGCAGCCATTGTCAGCTTGCGACTCATGTACACGTAATCCACGTCACAACTCATCACATCAAATCCGCAGAAGCCAGCGGCTGTGGGCGCCATTTAACGACAACAGAGACTGCATGAGATGAGACCCATTTCGGCAACAAGTCGCGTCGCGTGCCTCAAAGCAGCAGCCGTGTCGCCCTCCATTTTTTACAGATCCATAGCATGCGCAAAAATTCTGGAAGAACAGCCGTGATGGCTAGGAAACAGAAGGTTGGGGGTTACTATGGCAGCAGTTCGCCAAGTGCAGTTGGGGCCAACATAGAACACCAGCCAGGACAAGCACTTGACGAAATGACGCCAGGCAGTATACTGTACACGGCGGCGCCACCAGAAATTGTGACCCTTGGCGTGATCCTGATTCGCACATGCGGTCCCGTTGGCTGCTGCCACGCCTTGCAATGCTCCGCGCCATCCACCTTGTCCTTCTCCTCGGGTAACAACCGTCCTGATGCGAGCTGTTGCCCCAATTTCAACTGAGCCGGACAAACGAAGCAATGACGACGGCCTGATTTGTTTTGTTGCCCCAAATTCCGTGCAACGGGTTGTCCTCTTCGCGCCTTCGGCCCTTCTAGTAGAATATTGGACTTGACTGTCCCTACACACTATTCTTGGGTTGATGCAGAACACTCTTCTCAATTCACATCCTGATCACTTCAGCTTCTGGTACGTTTAGGCGCTACTCCATTCCCTTGATCGTAATTTCAAGTTTCAACATCAGCACGCTTTCCGTTAGCAGACTTTCATACACTCAGCTTTGACCGACTGAATTAGAATTATGGCGGACACGGCGGCATTTCCCTCAGCTCTTCAGTTGCAGTTCCTCGGCAGTTCCGTTTGTTGTAAACGTAGCAGAGACGCAGCCACCGCAATGTTGAGCCATGGCTCCACCTTTTCCGACGACTCGGGCCTGAACGATCTGCTCCTGGCGTTGATGCAAGAGCAGCAAGAGCAGGAGCGGCAGCAGCAGCACCAGCAACAGCAGCGCTTGCAACTACGGCGCCAGCTCCTGCTTCGCGAGTGCGCGACAGCGCTCCTCTCGCCTACGGCACCGTCTTCGCAGCCTCTATGCGACGCGACGTGCGACGTCGCACCGTCACTACCTAATCTCTCATCGCACTCTACAGTTGAGTCGTCCGCCGCAGCAGGGTGCTATCTGGGACCCGCCGACATCGCACATGCCTCTGCGCACACACCGATCCTCACAGCAGCGCCTCAAACCGAGGATTTCCATCCTCGTTTGAAGCGTCCTCGTTGCGAGGAATTCGCTCATGCAGCATGCGGTCGCACTCACGAGGTCCTACTATACCAGTCGCAGCAAACGGTGTTCTGTCACCAATCGTCGGTGCAGCATTCTTACCCGATGCTTGCGCGAGGGTTTGACGGCGATGCGCTTTCCACGCTGATTCAGCAGGCGGTTGCGGGTCAAGTGCGCGCGGTAGTCTCGGCGGCGGTAGAAGAAGCTGCGGGGAGCAAGCGGCGAGTGGCGGAGCTGGAGCAACAAGTATCCGCGTTACAAGCAAATCTCGCTTCAGCACACAGCCTGCTTGCCGCGTCACAACGTACAGTGTCTTCTCTTCAGCGTTCGCTTGAAAGCTCCCAGCATCAGCTTCAGCAGGAGCGATTTCGCGAAGGCTCGGGGGACAGTGATGACGTCGCAGTAGGCGGGTGTGGGCGGCAAGGGGAGGGTCCTGCGGAGGATGCGGTTTCTATTTGCGACGCCGCGCCCATTTGTGAAAAAGGTTCAGATTTTGGTGTTTTTCCTGCAAGCAGATTTTCATATGCCCCTGCAGTTCCGAACCAGAAGTTTGTTCCGTCCGAGCGCGCTGTGAATGACACTCGCTTGAAGCACGTCTGCCGGGCCTGCAAGTTTGGCGAAGCCTCGGTGGTGCTTCTCCCCTGCAGGCACTTGGCTTTGTGCCGAGCCTGTGAGCCACGCACGGCAGCATGCCCTGCCTGTGGCGTGTCGAAGCATGCCAGTGTGCACATATCCCTCGACAACTGACAAGCCTTACTGAGTAGAACTAACCTCTAATTAACAGCTTTGTGTTGCTTCAACCCTATGCTTGCTTGGGGGACTCTGGTCACATTAACACTGGTTTAGGTGGTATACATCTAGCCATGCTTAGCAGCTTGTATATTATGTTTTGATTTTGTAAGATGATGTAGATCCGAGTATCTTATGTCATCACGTAAGAACAGGCTAGTGTTGCAAGCATTAAGCCCTTTCCTCTACTTAAATATTTGCTTAAAATATTCATTGAACAAAGAAAATAAGCGCTGATTTCAATAAAGTTGGTGTATTGCATTCTATTAGTATAGCGCGGATACTTTGCCTGTCATTCCGTGGCAAACTGGGGAACTGGGTGCTATCATCCTGCAAAACTAGCAATGCAATGAACATATTAGGGACGGGACGAAGATCTATGCAAGAATACACACTGCAATGAAGCAAGGTAACAAGCCAGTTGTCACAAATGCAGCAAATTACTGGGCTTGTTACATGGCTGCTAAATAGAGCGGCTCGCTTCGCCTCGCCACAGCCCCTCAGTTGACAAGTTGTTGTCGTGATTGGTGAGTTGGCATTTTTGCAGCCATCAAATCTCCGATCCGATCGAACAGTCGAGGTGACGGCCACATCGCGTCACAATGCTGGATTCACTTCACACCTTCGCCTAGGCGACTGAGGACGGTACTCAGGGAAGATGTCCGACCAACCTGGACAAATACATTTCAAGACTGACGGAGCGAATGGTGTACACTACTGTTGTAGTGTTTCGCCGCTGGCCTCGCCTCGCTCGGCACGCCAGTTTCGGGAGTCGGGACCACGAGGCAACGGCAGTTTCGGGACCACGGGACGCCGGCGCATGAACGAAATTAATTGACGGCAGTCAGCCCAATCACTCCAAACCAAAACTTACATTGGGCATATGCGGTCTGGCCGTCCCTTTCCCTTTTTGGTTACAGCGAGGAGCAAGCTGGCGTGGCGAGTGAGGTTTCACAGTTTGTTGCTGCCAATATTTGATTTGGCGTCAGGCATGGATGGGATGGGAGGCAATGCTGAAATGCTGCAAGCGCTTCGTCCATTTGTTGCGATGCGACACGCTGACACGGCCACTGTTATGGGCGATTTTAGGGGGGAGGAGGCGTCACTGACAAAAAACGCTAACCGCTCTCCACCGTGCGAAAACGTGCTGAGCCAATAAGATAAGAATTACATTCTAGTCTTACCTGTTGGTCAAGCAACCCTCCTAAGCAAACCAGGTATGATAAACATTGAGGCTACGTGTATTTCAGGCTGTCCGCTTAAGGCATGTACAAAGTAATATTCTACTGTCTTTGACGTCGGAGGCTCGACGTCGGCCGACGTCGATTGACGTCGAGCGCGGCACTTTGAACACAATGCCGGCGACGAACTCTCGAACTTTCAGTCGAATTTCGTTAATCGCATGGCTTTTTTCGTTTGCAAAGACAGAGCGTCTAATGGCTGCGAAAAAAGCACAGCGAATCTTACAGCTTCGTCAATTTCGAACATGCAATTCCCGCCAAACTGTTGTTCTGTCTTGTTGTGGTCGGCTCATCACTGTACAGATGCGCTGAATTCCGTACAGGCGGCGATGCTGGCGTCAGCAATTTTTGAAGCGCACTTTGAACACCGATTTGGCACCCTTCAGCTCACCTACCTTCTCCAACAACCTCGACGAACTTTGACGTCGGAAATGTGCAGCACTTTACACATAAACTAGGAATATTGAGGTGGCCTATCCATGCCCTGGGTCCAGGCTTGGGGCTGCTACGTAGGGAACGAAGGGCGTGTGACATTTTTTAAAATCACTGAAAGTCCGGACCCACGTGAACGTACGTCCGGACCTTTGCGAATCTGGCGACGTCGTACAGTCGCTTTGCGACGCAAACGACGTCGTACGGACAAAATGCGACGCAAACGACGTCGCTCGTTTCTTCACGAGCTAATAGGCGAGAGTAAACGAGTTTGGTAACCACAAAACTGTCCGTACGGCTGGCTGTACGGACGACACAAATAAAAAATGTTACACGCCCTAAGTAGACGTTGCACTACAGAACTTTTGAAGACAGGATGTAAAAACAAAAACATGGATTGAATATTCCTCCCATCCCAACACATGCTAATACCGTACCAATAAACACCTGAACCATCATATCCCTATTCACAGCTGCAATATGCATCATATGGTATCCTTCAGGCACATTCAAGATTAGAGTTGCTGTAAAACCACCCTATCAGAATCAGCTTACCACCAGCAGCAACCAGCACCACCAGTCACATCACCACCACCTCCAGCACCAATACCAGCACAACAGATAGCAGCTTTTACCCGAACGAGCCTCATTTTTACGTCAGAACAGCGCGCCCCACTCCCTGTAGATGCGCAGTCCCACATTTTGAAGTCGGTGATGCAATTAACCAGCAATGTCAGTTGCAATACCACCAGCACCAGGACCAATACCAGCAGCAGCAGCAGCACGAATTGCGGCTCTCTCCCTAACGAGCCTCATTCTCTCCTCAAACAGCGCTGCCCTCTGCCTGTCGATGCTCGCTCTCTCCCGTGCCATTAGCTGCTCTAGCCTCTCAAACTGAAGCATCTTCTTCTCAAGCTTCAGACACTGGGAGGGGAAATGAGGGGGGGGGAGAGTGGGGGGGAGGGTGTGGGAATGAAGCGGAGAACTCAGCGATTTGGGAAGAGTGGAAAAGAATGAGAATAAAGGGGTCCATGCCCTCTGCCTGTCTATGCTTGCTCTCTCTCGTGCCATCGGCTGCTCCAGCCTCTCAAACTGAGGCATCTTCTTCCCCAGTTTCAACTAGAGGGAGGAGAGAAAAGATGCAGAATGGGAAAAAAGAGAGAAAAAGAAAGAGCGAAGGATCGCTGCCCTTTGCCTGCCACTCCATCTTTGCCCAACCTTTTTACCTGTCAATCCTCGCTCTCTCCCATGCCATCAATGACGACCAAAATTAAACATTTGCATCGCCACCAATTCAGCCATCTGGACGGAACTATGAACACCGAAGCAAGTTCTGAGGTGCCTCAAAATCCGCATGTACTGAGACGAGTTTTGAGGCGCCTCAAAACTTCTTACCTGTCAATCCTCGCTCTCTCCCATGCCATGCCATCAACAACTATGTACAGCCGAGAATGGCAATGTGCGCTTTAAGAAGCAACCACTAAAAATGAACCAACCCACCTGTTTGGCCACCAGTTCAGCCATGACTCGTCGCATCTCCCTCTCCTCCTCCGCCGCCATGAGCCTTGCCTTCACAGCTGCAGCAGCCATGGCCGTGGCTGCACTCTTGCTGCACCTACCAACAACATTCCGAACTGAAGCAGCAACCCCTTCACATCACCCAGCTCACCTGTTTGGCCACCAGTTCAGCCATCACGCGTCGCATCTCCCGCTCCTCCTCCTCAGCCATGAGCCGTGCCTTCACCGCTGCAGCAGCCATTGCGGTGGCAGCAGCTGCTCGGATGCGCAGAGCTGACGGCACGTCGCTCAGAGAGGGAACGCGGCGTTGAGGGCCCTTGCCTCCTCCTGCCTCCCCTTCTGCTCCCCCCCCTCCTCCTCCTCCTGTTCCTGCTCCAGCTGCTCCTTCTGCTTTCTCTGGTGTGGCCTTTTCTCCTGCTGCTGCATCTGTACCTGTTGCAGCGATGACAATCTCATTCCCCTCTCTCTTCTCTCCCTGCTCGCCCTTTGCACCCCCACCTTCCCTACTCTCCTCCCCCTCCTTTCCAACGTCACCTCCTCCCTTCCCTTCCTCATCCCCTTTGCTCGCCTCCTTACCTCCATCAACATCCATGCCATCTATGCCACCATCACTCTCTATCTTCCTCACTTTCCCACCCCCCTCCTCTTTCTGTCCCTCGTTCTCCTCTCCTCCTCTCTCCATCTGTACCTGTCCCTTAACATCAGTAGCTTCCGCATCCCCTTTCACACCCTCCTCCCCTTTAACGGCATCCCCTTTAACAACATCCCCTTTAACAGCATCCCCTTTAACATCATCCTTTTCAGCAGAATCCCCTTTCACGCCATCCCTTTTCGCGCCGCCATCCCCTTCACGCGCAGCAGCAATAGTATCCCCATCACCACCTTCGGAAGCGGCAGTAGCAGCGGATTCACCACCAGCAGCACCAGCAGCACCAGGAGCAGCAGCTACACTGTCTCCTGCTGCCAGTCCTTCTTTATTTGTTTTTGCTCCCCCCTCCTTCTCCCCTGCTCTTGCTTCCCTTGCATCGTCTCCTGCTGCTCCCTCTGCAACAACCTCTGCATCTACTCCTCCAACATCTTTCTCTATCACTGCACTCCCCTCTTTCTCTCCCTTCGCTGCCAGTCCCCCTCCTCCTCCTTCTCCTGCTGCCGCTGGTGCCCCTGCCCCTGCCCCTGCCCCTGCCCCTGCCCCTGCCCCTGCCCCTGCCCCTGCCCCTGCCCCTGCCCCTGCCCCTGCCCCTGCCCCTGCCCCTGCCCCTGCCCCTGCCCCTGCCCCTGCCCCTGTCCCTGCCCTCACCTCATGCTCTGCTGCTGCTGCTGCTGCTGCTGCTGCTGCTGCTGCTGCTGCTGCTGCCTTTGCCTCTTCCTCTGCGGCCACTGCCCTCGCCTCTGCCTCAGCAGCAGCCTGGTGCAACTCAGCAAGGGCAGACGGGTCTTCAAACACAAGCGCGGCCAGAGCAGCCTGAGCAGCAGCAGCAGCCACACGAGGCCCAGCCACACCAGAGATAAACGCCACCTGCGCCATGATAGGGTTACCACTGTCGCCAAACGGAATGGGCTCGTCCAGACCCATCACTGTTGGTTTCGAATTCTGCTGCTCCAGATTCGATCCCTTTCTCTTCATGCCTCGTCTTGACAAATCATTCTCTATAGTCTCTGTTCCAATCTCCTCTGCCTTTTCCGCTGCTGCATCTTCTCCCACGTCAGCAGCTTGCATTTCCACGTCACCCTTCTTTTCACCCACCCCACCTCCGTCCCTCCCCTCCCCTCCCTTCTCATCTCCCTCACTCCTCTCAGTGGCAGCAGCAACAGCAGCTGTGGCAGATACAGGAGCTTCAGAGACAGGCGTGACTGAAGCACGTGTGACTGTAGCAGGTGGCGCACTGATCGATTCAAACGAGTCACCCATGGGCATGCGGACAAAATAAGCCAGACACTGCGCTCGGTCTTTCGTCTTCACATGCCTTGCCACCTTCTCCCAGCTATCCCCAAACATCTCAATTCCCTCTAGCAACAACAACACCTCTTCCTCACTCCACCCACTTCCCGCTGCCACCGCTGCAACTGCTGCTGCCACCGAATCTGTTGCCGAACCTTCCCCCACACCTGGAGCTCCCGAAGCTCCCCCTGGTCCTGTGCTGGCCGCTGCTGCTGCAGCGGCGGCAGCTGTAGCCGCAGCAGCAGGCGCTCCTGCAGCTATAGCGGGGGTGCTCTCTATAGTCACACTCACTCTTGCTGCATCAGATGGTATAACAGGTGCCTCGACCCGCAAAAATTCGGCTAAGGACCGGGACGAAGGGACTTTACCTTGAGAGAAACACTTAGGGCATAGATCCATGGGTGGGTGCTTAGCTGAGTGATAACGTAGCTTCGTGCACTGGGTACCACACGTGCTACAGTGCGCATCCCCCACCATTCCCAGCAGCGCCAGCTCAGCAGTTCGCACCGTTCCAGGCTTCCTCGCTCCGGCACCCGAACCTGCCGCCAAACCTGCAGCTCCAGGCCTACCGCCAGGCACGGCTCCCCGAGCAAAGGTGCAGACCAAATCCGAAGCCATGAGGCCTTCTTGTTTGACTGCAGGAACGGCGAGACGAGACACGCCGCCCTTTGCTGCTAAGTCTGACTCCAAGGGGGCGACTTCAGGCCAGGGGTTAAGAGCCGCAGAGGCGGCAGCATCGGCTGTAGCATCGTCAGTAGTGGAATCTTGAACTGCTGCTACTGCTGCTGCAGCAGCAGCAGCAGCACGCCTGCGAGTGGTTAGACCGGTAGATGAAGCAGCAGCTGTTGCAGCAGCAATGGCTGCCGCTGCGGCAGCAGCGGCCGAGGCATTGGCTGCTGCTGCTCCTCCTGCTCCGCCCCCTCCTGGCACATCAGCGTTGATCAGCCCCCATTGGTCAAGAAATTCAAACACCCGACGGATCGAGCTCACGTCACCAACCAACGCCCGGCGGACACGTGTGAAGGTGAGCGGCCAATCGGATGGCGGCATCTGGCAGTACATGGTGATAATGGCGTCTCGGTATTCTTTGTAGAGAGTGGGGGTTTTGGCGGGAGGGGGAGGAGGAGGAAACATGGTGGCTGTTGGTGGCTGTGGGGGGGGTGTTGGGAGGAAAAACTCTGGAACCCCACGCTTTTCCAAAGGGTGGATCTTGTCCCATCGAAACCAGCCTGTGCAATTGAGAAGGGTTGAGAGAGAAGAGGGAAAAAAAAACAAGAATGCATTTGAGATGAATTAGGGCATGATGAAGGAAGTGTAGGTGGAGGAGAAAAGTTTCAGAAGCAGGCTTGGCTGAGAGGCACAGAAACAAGAATCAGCGAGGGTGCATGATCTGAAGCATGCAAGCTTAAAAATCAAACCCACCCTAGCCCATTACCACCCCCCCCCACCCCTCCCCCCCCCACCCACACCCCCTTTCCCCCACCCCCCCAAAAAAGATCGGACTTTCATATCATAACGAACACATGGGCATCCAAGGTCGCAGTGGACTCACTCGCATGGCACGGAACACGATACACCTTTCGCTTCGCTCCGATTCCTGCCGGAACCTTCTCCTCCCGTTTCTCCTGCTCCTCCTGCTGCTTCGCCGCTCCCTCGTCGCCCGCCGCTTCAGCGCCATCCCCCACACGATTCGACCCACCACCCGTCCCGGCGTCCCTCTCAGATCCATTTCCCGCAAGAGCAGCCGCAGCGCCGTTCGCGTCGTGCATCTCTTCTTCCCTGAACCCCTCCTCCTGATGCGGCAACTGCTGCTGCTCCTCGTTTCTATGGTCGTGCTGCTCGTGTGCGCCGTCCTGATGGCCTGGAGTCAACTGCAGCGCGTCGTCGTCATCCGCCTCGTACGCCTGTAACGCGCCTTCCATCATCATGTCTTCGTCGATATCCATTGCCTCGATGAGGCTTCGATCAGTGGCCTCGATCAATATTCTTAATATATGGGATCAATTGAAGGGACCTGATCAATGGCCTTCAATGGCCTCGATCACTATGACCTTTGCGAGATGAAGCTACACGTTGCTGGAAGTCGTTTTTTTTTAGCTTGTCTTCAGGCCGTTCCAAACAGTAAATCGCAACGGAATACGCTTGTTGATAAGCCGGAACTCCCTTCGACTAAGCGCAGAGCGTGGAGTCCTTTACATGACGTTGGTGAAAACACTGGTGATTGAACCTTCCACTCCTCGAGCTTGTCAAAAACTAGGTTGCATGCCTCGCTATAGTACAATCTTGTGGTGTCATGCAGGTTCACTTTAACCCTATATCTTTATATTTGAGAACGTTTGGGTAAGAAGGAGTAAAAACGAAGCCATGAACTAAATTAACTAGATATAAGAGTAGAAGCAATTTTCCTAATAAACATCAACATCAACCAATTCATTAGTTGCAGAAATTATGTGGAGAAGTAACATTGCATGTTGGGGGAATTTGTTGCATTTGTTGAAAAGCTGGTTTATTAGAAAGTCAGATGAGCTACCCTGCCCAACCTTCAGGAGTATCCAATGAAGTCGCCAATCTGCCTACCCTCTCAGTCTGTACCATCTTTCTCTCAGCTCCCATAAGCTGCACCAAGACTTGAAACACGTTTGAGGAAAGCGTGCCAATAGCATGGTCGCTGATCTTGTATGCCAGGGATAAGCTTGCAAGGAAATGATCTTGAATGCCTTTCTTCTTGTCTGCAGGGACATACACATGCCCACCAACTCTTTCCAGAACTGTTCTGTCAGTCGAGTTGTCAAACATGATCAATGGGGCATCTGAAATAGTAGCCACATAGCTCTCCATATTCTTGATGACAGTCTGGCTGTCGCTCATGATGAAGAGGCTGTTCCAATGCATGCTTAGATTTGCTGCTGATGTCTCAATTGCATTTGTGTAGTTGCTCAATCCTCGGTATTGGTGACCATGAAGCCTCCAAAAAGGATCTGCAGAGTGAAATACAAGTCAGGAGCAAAGAACCAGTTTGGTGGCGTAACCTTGGCAAAGCCCTTACCTTCTTGTTCCTTGTCTGTTCGTCTGATGTGGAGAGACACGGTGGGCCTGGACCAGCCTCGATACTGCTTCAAGATCTCCTTTTCAATGTCAAGAATGTGATCGTGGGGTTGAAAGAGCCACTGGCTGATTATGGCATGGAGCATGAATGGTGGTCCCGAACCAGGAAAAAATCCTGCCAGCTCTGCATTTCCACACCGCTGAAGAAAACGAAACGGATCATTCCTCATTTGCATCCAAAAATGCGATGGCCAGATGTCTCCACCCCATCCAGGATAAACTCCATTCATCGGTTCCAAGTATATGACCCGCTCGTTTGAAATCTCGGCCAAACGGTCCATGTCACACTGTCCATTGCAGGTGAAATTCCAAGCTTTCCAGGAAATGGTAGTGTTGAGGTCGTCAGGGATCTTGCAAGTAGTAATATTCGGGAAGTAGCAACCAAGGTGCTTCTCTTCACAGCCATCAAAAGTGGCATACTCCCAGCGCTTTCCGCCGAGTCTTCGAGGAGCTGGAATCACTGTGCGATTAAGCTTCATACCAAGCGATAATGCGCGGACGAATGACCGGAAGTTCCACATGAGACCTGTAAGGGTTATTTGTTAAAGCATCCTGCCAGAATTGGCATCACAGTAAAGTGTGCAACAGGTTCTTCAGTTACCGCTAACGTCGGCCTCAACGACCATGAGCTTCGCGTCATCGCATGACCGCGGATGCTGAAGTGCTGTTATGGCATCGTAGATCATCACATGAGCCGTTTCCGTCCACTGCACAGGGGACCTTTTCGGTCTCCTTGGCACTGTGGCATTAACCGTCATTCTCTCTTGCAATCCACTCTCATTGCGGTCTCCTTCGGGAGGGATGAGAGCATAACAGCTATGCTTCGACTTGAGGCCATCTGGAAGCAGACACAATGAATGGCCCTTCAAATCTAGGTTGGCCAGCTGTATTACAAAGAACGAAAAAACAGTCGCAGCGATGGTTATCAAAATTCCACACTGGCAAGGGCTGCAAGGGAGGCCTTTCTCCATGGCGGCGTCACTGAATACGGAGAGCTGGTTGCGTCAATGGCCTGTGAGGGTCTGCTGGGAATAAATATATGATATGGGAAGAAATGGATGCGATGGCCTTCTGCGGTTGTGCCAGCCCAACCCGAACGACGCCGCGTAGAAAACAAGGTGAGGGCATGTTACGAGTGCAATTGAGTGAACGAGCGAGAATTGCACTATCGAAGCAAGAGTACAATGAGCGAAGGTATGAGCGAAGAATATATAGCGAAACTACAGTGGCAACGGTAATGGTCGCGCGACGAGCCTGGGACTGAGGTTGGGAACGTGTCGAAGCGTAGGCCCGGAGCGCGGGTTACCAGCCGAGCCGTGAGGTCGGGATGCGATGTGCGAAAATGGCGGGATGATGAATGATGCGATGGTCGCGAGTGGTAACGGTGCTGACTGAGGTGCTACAGTGATGTACGCGTTGAGCAGAGATGCGAATGTAAGGAAAAGGGAATTTCCTTACACTACCCCCCCCTCCTAAAAGGTCCTCCTTACGAAAGCGCGTGGACGTCTTTCAAGTTTCGGCTGCGTAGATAGACGGTGACGACAGGGTGGTTTTCAATTCTGTCTAGGGGAACCCAGTTGTCCTCGGTGGGTGTACGATCTTTCCAGCGAATCAGAAACTCAACTTTTCGGGCCCCTCGAGGGTCGCGAACTCTGTGGCTCAAGATTTTGTTGGGGGTGATGACTGGTTCGGTTGGTGGTCGTGACATGCTGGATGGTCGATGTCGTGGGAATTGGCTGGTGGATGGTACGTAAGGGCGAAGCAGGCTCACGTGGAACGAGGGGCTGACGTACCAGTCAGCAGGAAGGAGGAGGTGCGCGGTAACAGGTGTGATCATGTGACTGATTCGAAATGGCCCACAGTATCGAGGGCGGAGTTTGGGAGTGATGGGCAGGCGGAGGTTCTGAGTGTCGAGTAAAACGAGGTCGTCGGGCTGACAAGTGACGGGTCTACGGTAGCGATCGGCGTTGCGTTTAGCGATGATATTTGATTTTTTAATTGCTTCTGCTGCCCTGGTCCGTGCTGCTTGCAAAATCTCGGTGAACTGTTGTGCGCGTGGAACGGGATTGTCGGGGTTTGGTGTCATGGGTACTGTTGGGTTCTGTCCGTAATTCAAGTAGAATGGCGACTGTTGGGTCGTGGCAGATGGCGCGTTGTTGTATGCGAACTCGATGAGAGGCAGCTGTTGCTCCCACGTGTTTGGATCGTCACACGTGGCTCGAATGAGTTGCTCCATAGTCTGGTTTGTCCGTTCTGTCTGTCCGTCGGTTTCGGGGTGATACGATGAACTGAATTGAAGTCTCGTGCCGAGCTGCTGCCACAGGTTCCGCCAGAAATTACAGGTAAACTTCGTGTCCCTGTCGCTGATGATTGATGCTGGTATCCCGTGCAGTCGAACGACGGTGGCGATGAATAGTCGGGCTGTTTCCTCGGCTGTGATTGATTTCCTGCATGCTGCGAAATGTGCCATTTTCGTTAGTCGATCGACGACGACCAGGATCGCGTCATTCCCACTCGCCCCGGCCGGTAACCCCGTGACGAAGTCCATCGTCACCTGCTGCCAAGCACGCTCTGGAGGTGGGATTGGTTGTAATTGTCCTGCCGGCCGCTTCCTGGTTGACTTCATGAGTTGGCAAGTGGGACACGATGCCACGTGTCGTTGCACGTCGGTCAACATTTCCGGCCAGTAATAATACCGCTGCAGCTGCTGCCGTGTTTTTTCTACTCCGAAATGTCCCGAGGTAACTCCGTCGTGTGCCTCCTGTAACAGTAGTTCCCGTAGTAGCGTGTACCCTGGTACCCAGATGCGGTCGGATCCAGCTTTTACGTAATAGGCTCCCTTGGCTGCTGCGAATTGCTGTGAATTTCCTCCTGTGAAGAATGGGTCTTTTTGATATCCGTGGGTAAATAGTCCTGTCAGTAACGGGCTGGTCTGGGCGAGTAGTATCGCATGTATTTGGGCAGTGGGGCGGGTCAGTGCGTCGGCGATATTCAAGGCTCCTTTTTTATATGTGACCGTATAGTGGAAATTCGATTCGAGGAAGTCGAGCCACCGAATCTGTCGTGGGTTGAGGTGGGGCTGTGCGCGAAGGTACTGTAGGGATCGATGGTCTGTCCGTACTGTCACGTCTGCGCCGGTCAAGTAGCAACGCCACACTTTGAATGCATGCACGATCGCGAGCATTTCGCGGTCGTGTATCGGGTAATTTCGCTCAGGTGGATGTAGCTTGCGTGATTCGTAGGCGATGGGTTGGAGGCCGTTGCCGAAGTCCTGTAACAGTATGGCTCCGATGGCGATGTCGCTCGCGTCTGTAACAACTTCGAAGGGGCGGTGTGGGTCAGCGATGCGTAGGACAGGTGGTGAACAGAGAACATTTTTCAGGGCAGAGAAGGCAGCCTGCTCTTTCTCCCCCCACGTAAAAGGGACCCCCTTACGCAGTAAATCAGTGAGCGGGGCTGTTAAGCGTGCCATGTCGGGGACGAACCGACGAACGTAATTAACAAACCCTAAAAAACTCCGTAGTTCCGTGATGTTCGTCGGGGGATGCCACGCTTTTACGGTATCCAGCTTCTTAGGGTCGATCTCAACCCCAGCCTCCGAAATGACGTGACCTAAAAACTCTAGCCTGTCTCGAAAAAACTTGCACTTGGAGCCCTTGGTGAGTAACCGATGTGCCTCTAAAATTTTAAAAACTACTTCGAGATCTACTAAGTGCTGCTGCTGGTCCCGATTGTAAACGAGGATGTCGTCGAGGTAAACTATGACGCATTTATCTAAAAGTGGCCTAAACGCCTCGTTCATGGTCATCTGAAATGTTGCAGGCGCGTTGGTCAGCCCGAAAGGCATCACCGTGTACTCGAATGACCCACACCTAGTCCTAAATGCTGTCTTGGCGTAGTCCGATGGTTCGACCCGAATTTGATGGTAACCTCCCCGTAAGTCTATTTTCGAAAATACTCGTGCGGTTCGCAGCTGGTCAATCAGTTCGTCGGCGCGGGGGATGGGGTATCGTGATTTTACTGTTACCCTGTTAGGTGCTCGGTAGTCGATGCACATGCGAAACCCCCCGTCTTTTTTCGGTGTGAACAGTATCGGTGCGGCGAACGGTGACGAGCTCGGTCGGATAAACTGCTTCTCTAACAGGTAATCTAATTGCTTCCTTAGCTCGTCGAGCTCGGGCTGTGTCAGTCGAAATTGGCGCTGTACAGTTGGCTGTGCCCCCGGTTCTAACTCGATCCTATGGTCATGCGCCCGCTAAGGTGGCAGCCCTTGCGGTAAGTCATCCGGAAAGATACCCAGGAACCGTTTCAGTAGTGCCTGTTGTTCGGGTGGTACGGCTGCCAACAGTTTCTGCAAATCACTCGGCCGGTCCTCTTTTTCCACTAATGCGATATCCACTGCGTACACGTCAGCTCCAGCAGCGACAGCCCGTTTCATCGTGATGGCGTTGACCTGGATCGTCGAAGACTCGGGTGGCTGCCAGCGAGGTAGGACGACCCAGTTACCACTACTTCGCACTGTGCAGCTACCCGTCGTCCAGTCAATTCGTGGGTTATACCGTCGCAGCCAATCACGTCCTAATAAAATGTCGTGCCCATCCAGTGTCGTTGCGAGCATTTCCTGTGTAAACCCGAAGTTCCCTCCGCAGCGGACCTTTACTCTTTCCACCTTTTCCCGTATAGCAAGTGGCGTGCCGTCGACTAAGCGTGCATCTATCTTAGGTAAGCATCGGTTAGGTGTTAACTGTAATTTCCGTGCGGTTGCGGTATTAACTAAGCTGTGACTTGCTCCTCCGTCAATAAAAATCTTCACTGCTGCTCCCTGTATTTTCCCGTAGATTAGTACCGGGCAATCCGTCGCTGTACCCTCCTTATTCATCCGAGCCCGATCGATGGCATGAATCGGTACTGTGACTCGGTGAGGGTCGGTGTGGTTGGGCGAGCATGCAGTCTCGTCAGTAGTTGGCCCAACTTCTACTGACTGCTGGCGTTTCCCTGCCTCTGAGACTCCCTCCCCTGCTCTGCTCCTCGGCGCCTCAGCTCCTCTGGGCATTCGCTCTTGCAATGGCCCGGCTTGTTGCAAGCAAAGCAGCGCCCCTTAAACGGTGCGGCAGCTGCATTCGTTGCGACGGCGTGTACAGTGGCGTGCTCGGTCGGTCCCCGAGGACGATGTCCGTAATAGGACCCCGGTCTCGGTCGGCGTAGAATGTCGATCTTCTCGGCGAGCGTGAGAATCTCGTTGAAGTTAGAGAGTCCGCGCAGCATTATCTCGTGCGAGATGTCCGGCTTCAGCCCTCCGACGTAACGGTCCACCCGCTCCGCTTCGTGCATGTAGCCGACCTGCTCGCAAAGTGCGAGAAAACCGCTGGTATAGTCTTGAACTGACCCGAGCTGGCGCCAAGTGCGCAGTTTCTGACGCGCCGAAATTGAAGCCGCGATCGGCTCAAAACGCGCCCGAAGTCCTGCGCACCACGCATCCCACGTTCTGTATTGGGCGGTCTCGCAGAACGAACTCTAGGTGACAGCTGGACCCGAGGGCCCTTCCTCGTGCGACGGTGGCTCGTAGGCGCGTGGCGACGTCACGATGACTCGCCACCAGTCCATGGCGGGGCCTCTTAGCAGTGAAACCGCATAGCGGATCTTTGCGGCGTCCGACTCGTCGTAATTGGCATCGAAGAAAACGTTCATTTTGAAGACCCACGATTGAACTGTCGGACCGCCGCGTTGACTTGGGTCGAAGCAGGGCGGGCGTTGCGGCTTGAGCGGCATTGGTGCCATGTTGGGTTGTTCGCCACTTGTCGCCGCAAATTCCACGTGCCGACGGACTTCTCGAGGCTCCCGTGGGCTTGGTGCGATCCTGTTTCCTCCCATGCCAGGCATCGGCTGGGCGGCGCCCTCACTGGCTGCGCCTGAGCGTTGTCCCGTGCTGTCGTGTTGTGTTGGTGTGCCGGACGAGATGATGATCGGCTCATCCGAACGTGCAGATGCGCTTGTTGGTGCGTGGGATGTCGTTGGTACGTTCATCGTGGATTGTTGACGGGCGGAGTCACGTTCCGCCGTGAGGGTCGCGATTTCAAGCGCCGAATCCTCCAGTTGACGCACGAGACGATCAAGTTGCTCCTGCGTCAATGTGGCGAGCGTGAAATCGGCCATGGCGGGGGTGTCGGGCAAGCTCAGCGAGAGCCTCGGTCGTGGCCGTGCGTGCTTGCGAGAGAGCACTACGAGCAGCGGTGCTGTATCGCTGAGAGACGTCTACCCCCCCCAAAAATTGAGATAGTGGGGAAGTGAAGGTGTGGATGCGGTCCGAGATGGGATCGTAGGTTCTGAATACCAAGTGTTACGAGTGCAATTGAGTGAACGAGCGAGAATTGCACTATCGAAGCAAGAGTACAATGAGCGAAGGTATGAGCGAAGAATATATAGCGAAACTACAGTGGTAACGGTAATGGTCGCGCGACGAGCCTGGGACTGAGGTTGGGAACGTGTCGAAGCGTAGGCCCGGAGCGCGGGTTACCAGCCGAGCCGTGAGGTCGGGATGCGATGTGCGAAAATGGCGGGATGATGAATGATGCGATGGTCGCGAGTGGTAACGGTGCTGACTGAGGTGCTACAGTGATGTACGCGTTGAGCAGAGATGCGAAGTAAGGAAAAGGGAATTTCCTTACAGGGCAAAACAACTGTACAAAAGCATCATTATATTCTTTATCCATACAGTTCTACAGTACTTCAATTGCTGATTGTGCTATGGTAACAATATGAACATCCCAATCACAATGAATCAATATTTTTTTGAACCATGCGTCATCCACATTCAAAATTATGAGATTGTATTACTGCCACGGATCTTGGGAAAGGGGCACAGGAGGGATTTGAAGCTTGGCCTTCTGTTTTGGAGGATCGGCTTGGTTTGCATCGTTCAATGTAGTCGTGTTGAAGTTACGAGATTTACTTGGTGCCCGATTTGAAAGGGATGATGCTGCCATCACGGATCTTGCAGATGTGAAACCTGTATTGGGAGACGATACACCACTTGCAAGCCTTGGGACCTTCTGCACGAACCAAGGAGAGAACAAGAAATCAGGCAGGGCAAGGGGAGTGCGAGCAATCGGTGAGAATTAAGAATCAGCCAAAATGCACCAACAAACAAACAATGCAGATTAAGTGGGCATGCAAGGAGGAGAAACAGCGAACAACATGATAAGAAGGCAAGAAAGTATCAGGTTGGGGGGCGGCTTGGCACTACCGAGAATGAAAACTTTCACGACAGCATTGTCAAGTGGGTGAACGCATCGCATCATGTGACGAGGTAACTTCTGAGTCAACCCAAAAGTCACAGCATTGTCATGCGGGCGAACCCCCTCCATCGCGTGACTTACAAACTGTTGTCGCAGGGATGACAGCCTGCTTCTCGGCGCTGCATGCTCGCGGTTATACGCCTCCTCAGCCCGACTCATCGCGTCCATTTTGCTGGCAAACGAGGGCCTCTTTCCCATCCTCCTCTCCACACGAGCAATCTTCTCCGTTGCTTCGTCCTCCCCTGGTGTGTACACCAGGACAAACAGACACACGTGATCAGGTGCAGGATTGCATTCTTTCTCCGGAATGGCACATGGTCACTCTCTCTCATCATTAGAATGCCACATGCGCACATACAGTGGCACATCAAGTCGTACCCTCACCATCAGAGCCGAAAATGCTCTCTTCAGGCTCAGGCTCCTCATCACAATGACACATGGTCACATATGCATCACAATGACACATGGTCACATATGCATCAGAATGACACATGGTCACATATGCATCAGAATGACACATGGTCACATATGCATCAGAATGACACATAGTCACATATGCATCAGAATGACACATGGTCACATATGCATCAGAATGACACATGGTCACATATGCTTCAGAATGACACATGGTCACATATGCTTCAGAATGACACATGGTCACATATGCATCAGAATGACACATGGTCACATATGCATCAGAATGACACATGGTCACATATGCTTCAGAATGACACGTGGTCACATATGCTTCAGAATGACACATGGTCACATATGCTTCAGAATGACACATGGTCACATATGCTTCAGAATGACACATGGTCACATATGCTTCAGAATGACACATGGTCACATATGCATCAGGATGGCACATGCCCACATCACGTGCTCTCACCATCAGAGCCGGAGATGCTCTCCTCAGGCTCCTCCTCATCGTCCCTCTTCCAGAACTCGCTCTCCACCAGATCCTTCAACTTGGAAGACAGCGGTGGCCTGCACCACATGAACACACGAAGAAGAAAGACTGGAGTGAGTGCAAGTGTGTTTCCTCCTTCTATGCCCCCTCTCCCCTCTCTCCCCCCCTATTCCAGAACTCGCTCTCCACCAGATCCTTCAACTTGCTAGACAGCGGTGCCCTGCCCCACATGAACACAAGAAATGAAGACTAAGTGAACAAGAGCCACAGGAGAGCACATAAACGAGAACTACAGTTTACCTGTCCACCCGCTCCACTTCCCCAAACGAACCCCACCCCCTTTTTAGTTGAACCTTTCACACACCTGCCCATTTGCACCCTTGGCTGCATGCCACCGCCACTTCCCCCCACGGCACCGCTCTCCCGAAGCTCCTGAAGCGCTGCCTTCACTGCATGTGGTGTCTTGCACACGTCACAACCGCCCGCACACAGCCTTGGGGTGGCCTGCGGGAAGAGATGGAAGGGGACATCTATAATTTCCACCTTCCTGAAATAAAAAAATGCATGCCATGCGGCTTTCACTGCCTCTTTAGAATATGGCGTTGAAGCACTCGAACGAAATACATTTTGCGGCCTTGTACACTTACCGTCTCTCCGAAATGCGTTAGCAGCTTCATTCGGCGACATGACAGGAGCTCGCAATAGTCCACCATCTAACGCATTTGGTGCAAACAAGGGAGGGCAGAAAAAGAAAGGGCGATAAAAGACGGCCAAGAAAAGAATGGGCTAACTAAGAATGCGCAAAACAAGAATGGGCAAAAAGAGAGGATAGCAGGAATTTAAACAAAGAGAATTGGCAACCACACACCAAGACAAGCAGCCAACAGAAATGAAAAAGGGGCGTTCAGGGCAGTTCAAAGACAGCGCATGGCAGATTATCAAGACCATGATTTCATGCAATGAAGAGCAAACTAAATGAAGGCTCATGACAGACAACCACCAAAGGCACTTGAATCCAGCTTAAATCCAGTTGCTGAGTGGTACTGCCTAAGAAAAGGAAGGCTTCTTGTGCAAACCTTTTGAAATGCATCCAGTGCGTTCTTGACACGCTGAGGCACTGGCAAGCCATTTGAGAGTTCTCAAAATGATATCGTACTTGCTAAGTGAGGGCTTTCGAATCAGACCTTTTGAAAGGCATCCAGTGCGTTCTTGACTCGCTGAGGTTGTGGCGGGCCTTTACCCCGTGAACCGTCGTCCTTCTTGATTATAAACTCCTGGAGAGACAGTGGGAGAAAGGGAGACGGCGGAAGTGGTGGAGACGGGAGATGAGGGATCAGGAGGGAGAATTTGGGGATGAGTGACGGTGGGAAGCAGGGGAGCGACAATGGTGTGCCTTTACCCCGTGCAACGTAGTCCTGCTTGATTATAATTTCTTGGAGAGACAGAAATAGGCCGATGGGGAATGGAGGATGCGGAATGGAATAGCCAAAGTCACAACAAATGTTTCATCTCACAAATTGATGGCCCCACTCACCATAGTTCGTTTGTCCTGCACGCCATAGTACAGAATGCTGTGGCAGGGCTGCTGGTCCCCTGGTCTCTGTTGGCTTAGCTGCTAATCCCAGCCTGTTCATCTACCCTGATCCCTGCCCCACTCACCATGGTCCGTTTGTCCTGCACGCCATAGTACAGAATGCTGCGGCAGGGCTGCTGGTCCCTGCCTGCTCGTCCTGACTCTTGATAAAATGCCTCGATCGACTTGGGCAGGGAGTAGTGGCACACCAGCCGCACTATCCCACGGTCAATGCCCTGCAGAGAGGGGAGGGAGAGTAATGAAGCGATTTTGAACCGCTCTGAACCAGGGCTGATTGTCTCTCTATTTCTCCTGGTAGAACGCCTCTACGGACTTGGGCAGCGAGTAGTGGCACACCAGCCGCACTATCCCACGGTCAATGCCCTGCTGGTAGGGGGGCAAGACCAGGGAACGGATTATAAAAAGCGTCAACCCAGAGTTGCTGGTCCCTTTTGCTCGCCCTGGCCTCGAAAAGGGGGTAGATGGACTTGTTCAGGGAGTAGTGGCACATCGCTGCTTCGACTGCAGCCCGGCTGCTCGACCGCCAGAAGGGCACTTGGATGCATTCAGTCACCGTCAGTTGCAGTCAGATGCACTTAGGTTCACTCTGCTTCTATGCAACATTTGAGGCTCTTTCTGGTTATTGACTTATCTTAACTGACGTGGCCGAGGAGAGCGGGAGGAAATAAATGGTGGGACCAGCTTACCATTCTGCATGGGATCGAAACAGCAGAAACAGCAGGCAGAGCAGAAAGACAGAATCGATTAAGGAAAAGAGATGAGGATGCAGCAGGAGTGGACTGCTACAAGAGTCACAGAATAATGGATATACACAGCAGCTGCTAGATTGATTGATATAATCACAATGTGAGCATGACTGACATACCCAAAGGCGACAGTGGCGATCATAATGGGGATCTTCCCCCGTGACCAGTCCTCCAGTGCTTCGGTGCGAGCTGCGGTGGAGAGCCCTGCATGGTACACTGCAGGAGAGCAAACAGCAAGCGCAGGCAGGGGTCAATGCGGCCACATGCAGGCAGAGAGAAAGAGAGAGTGGTGATCAGAATGGGGACCTTCCCTTGTGACCAGTCCTCCGGTGCTTCCGTGCGCGCTGAGGCGGACAGCCCTCCTTGGTACACTGCCGGAGGGCGAACAGAAAGAGCAGGCAGGGGTCGATGCGGCCAGTGCACCCATGTGAGAGACTAACAGCCCTGCATGGCACACGCAGCCAAAGACAAAGAACTCCCAGCCAACACTCTCCCCCCTCGCTCCCAAGATAGTTCAGATATTTTCAGAGTTCTCTCACACATGCTGCTGAAGCTGACAGCCCTGCATGGTACATAGATGAAAAGTGACACGAGTGGGAGATCAGTGCAGAAACACATAGGCAAAGCATCTTCACTCAACCCGTCCCCATCCCCACCCCATGCCCCTCCCTTCCCTTGCCTCCTGTCGCTCCCTCCCCCTTCCGTCCCCTCCTCCTTCTTTCATCCAACCAACGTCCCTCCCTTCCAGTTCCCCCCACTCCCCATCTCCTGCTCCCCTGATTCCCCACTCCTCCCCCCTTCCCCCCCCAGCGTGCACCTTTGCACCGAAGCCCGTCGCGGGTGAGCCAGCAAGCCAGCTCGTCACAGGTGCTGTGGGAGTGGCAGTAGTTGATGCCGCACTGCTTCCAGGTAGGCCAATGCTGCAGCCGTACACACGTGCGTGCGCGCACACACACACACACACAGGCAGAGCATCCCCAGCCAAAGCGTTCCCCTCCCCTTATTGCACCCAAAACACCCACCTTTGCATTTGAGACCGTCACGGGTGAGGTAGCAAGCGAGCTCGTCACAGGTGCTGCGGGAGTGGCAGTAGATGATGCCGCACTGCTGCTTCGATGCCAGTAGTGTATCACGTAAGTCTTTGTAAGGGTCCATCAGGTCCTTGTAGCGCACTGGTGTGTGAGGGAGCAGGGGTGGGGTGGGGGCCAGGGGGGTGGGCAGGACGCAGAATGGTAGGAGGTAGGTAAGGTGTCCCACAGGTCCTTGTAAGGGTCAATCAGGTCCTTGTAGCGTACTGGTGGGGGGAAAGGGGTGGGCAGGGGGCAAAATGGTAGGAGGTAGGTGAGGTGTCACGCAGGTCCTTGTGAGGGTCCATCAGGTCCTTGTACGGGTCCATCAGGTCCTTGTAAGGGTCCATCAGGTCCTTGTAGCGCACTGGGTGGGGGAGGTGATGGGAGATATGCACACAGCCGCACAGGTATGAGAGACACACTTGCGATGAGGAAGCAAGCGATTTTCCTTGTGCAGAGTTATGCACTGGCATGCACAGGGAAAGCACTGAATTAACGGGATGAAGCAGGCAGAGATTGTAATCGTTGGACAGGTATTGAATGTCACCTTCGTAGTAGATGTTGGGTCTGTTGAAGGAGGAGATCAGTGTTGTAGGGTTGCGAAATGAGGCAGACAGTATTAGTTACCATTGGGCAGGCATCAACAATCACCTTCGTAGTAGATGTTGGGTCTGTTGAAAGAGGAGATAAGAGTTGTAGGGTTGCGAAGGCAGAGGGAGGAAACAATGTCCTCCCTCACTCTGCACATACACACAGACACACATCAACCAGCAAACAGATTGAACTGCGTGCAGCTTGCACACCAAGCACAGAATGGTCTGCTCCTACGGCGGGGACATTGAAAGAAGCAACCAGCAGATTGAAGTCAAAAGGAAGGAAGTGTCGTGTAACTCCAACCAGCAGGTAGAAGCAACTGGGGGGGGAAGGAAATGGAACTCCAAGGCCTGCTTGAGGAGGGTCAAGTCATGCAATAAGGAGGCCATGGTCTGGGGGCGCCTACTTTGCAACAGCTGTGGCAGTGAGAGCAAGGATTGGAACGTTGGAGAACCGTTGTCGAAGAGAGGAGAGTCTGCGATATGCAGGCCTGAAGTCATGCCCCCATGATGAAATGCAATGGGCCTGCACCAGAATGGTCGAAACACATGTGACGAACGCTGAAAAGCCTTTTCTCGTGGAGCTTCTTTCAGCACGCTAGTATGGTGTGTACCGTCCACTGCATCCACTGTCACGTTTCAAAAGCAGGATGCGCATGTACTGCAAAGAATCTGAGAAAATCTCCATTTTTGTCTATCTGTAAGCCCCTGGATTGTTTATTAACAAACCTATTCACCTCACCTCATCTACAGCAAAGAGGCTGAGCAACCCTCTGTCATGAAGCTTCCTTAACACGCTCAGTATGGTGTGGGTGTCCACTGCTTCTGGCGTCACATACAGCAGCTTCAGTGCTGGCCGTCCATTCCCCAGGTCGGCGAGAATCTGAACGAACGAGAATTGCAGTATGGTTAGAAAAGGAGAAGAAAGAGACTAGCATGCATGCAGCTGAAATGGATGATGGAAAGTGCATGTTCGCAGTTACATTTGCCCGCCGTGCAGCAGAAATGGATGATGAGAGATATTCCGCTGGTATGCTCTTCTTCCTTAAAGACTCCACTTGATTCTGCATCAACGCTGCAACATGCAGGAGTGGTAAGAAGAGATCGGAGTCACGTTTTGATTTTCTCGAAGAAACTAGAGTATCTCAGGAGGGAGTGAGGAACTGTAGCAATGATTCACAAAGCTTGACGTCAGTTTGTGGGAGATGACGAACCAGCAGCAGCAGCACGGGAACACGGTTTCAGCTGGAAATCTTCAGTTTAAAACGGGACTAAACGACGCGAAGAGGTATGCACGGAGCGTATGGTGTGACGTTCGCTGACCAATGAGCGGAGAGACGACGATGACGACACCCGGTTTCATCAGCGCAGGAATTTCGTAGCACAGCGACTTGCCACCTCCAGTCGGCATTATGCAGAAGCAGTCAGACCCTGAAAGCGAGCATTCACTGATATATCAGGCTTTCAGGAGTCTCACGACGATTCCGTAGAGCACTCACTCATTCTGCGCGACGGAAACGTTTAGTAAGCGGGGTAAGTACCTGATAAAACGGTTCTGATAACTTCTTCCTGATTCCCGCGAAAACTGCATCAAGACAGCAAGCGCACGGTTGAATACGGCTTTTCAACTTCCGCATTTACCGATAAGATAACGAGGCTAACCTGACATATCCGAAATACTTCGTCAAGACACTGACGGGATCTGGCACACTTCTGTCTTCCGTCTGGGTTTCTTCTCCGTTACTTGCAGGCTCACGATCTTCAGGAGCATTTTCCATGGCTTCTGAATCTAGCGTCACCGTGACGCTATCTTCTTCCGTTAATCGATGGTTGAAATCACTGGTTCTCATTGTTTTGCTTGTTGAAGGAGCCATGAAGTCTGTGATCCGAGAGGTCTGAGCGGGAGCAGAGGGGGTTGGCTTTCGCCTGGCCATTCTCACACTGACAAAGTTTCGCAGCCAGAAAGTTGATACAAGTTCTTCTAGAAAACTTGAGGTCACGAAGTCCGTGGGCATCATGTGAGATCACTTTCCTGCGGTTCAAGCTGTTTTCTTTACGTTCCAGAAGTATTTATGGCAGAGTAAAAGGGTTCGGTATGGTAAAAGCTGAAAGTGAAAAACCCACGAAGTACGGCGAAATCGATGGCGACGTGGACGAGGGGAGAGCCATTCGCCACTTCCCAATGGAGTATGATGTAGCGAAGACGACTCTGAACACCAGCTGTTGGTTGCTTCTCTACAAGAGCAATGTAGTCTATATCTAACCTCTTGCATAGGTAAGCACTTGTTTAATGAGCAGCATTATTATTACTGCAAAGCATCTAGAGCAACCTATGATGATGTTAAGAGAATAAATTAATAAATGTATTTTTTTAAGTATGTATTACGTCCACTATTTTATTACTCTGTTTTCATCATCAAAGAGAGCACACTTTGTGTCATTTCTGTATGGTTGATGTAGCTCTTCCACTGTGCTATTCAACGTACGATCATGCCTAGCTGTATTCCCCCTAGAAGTCACCAGAACGCGACAAGACCGATGTAATAGACGCGCTGGCGTTATGGAAGAACAGTGAGCGTCGGCTTATGTGTACTAGGATTGGGAATGCCGATAAAGCCGTATTTCCGCCTCTAATTGGCTCGCGACTCTTGCGAGCCTTCGCCAAGTCGCGGGAACTTCTGTTCCCGCAGAGCGAAGTCTTGTGCGAAAGCTTCTTGACCGCTAAGACGAAATACTAACGCGGCTCAACGAACCATTGGGTTCCTACAATGAGGGGTAGGAGATCTTCTTTCGCCTAACCTGTGGATTAGGCTATGTATGATGTATGCTAACCTTCGCTAACCTATGCTATCCTGTGCTAACTTGTCGTTTTCTAGCAGCAACCTAAGAAACCCTTGTTGGTCTCACGAGACCTGGTAGGAGGGTGATGCTGGATGAAAGTTGGTTGGTTCAAGTACCCTCTGATCTAATCTTGCTTGCAATGCCTACTAAGTCTATTCTTGCTGTGATTTCTTGGTCTCCGATTTTAACGGATGACTTGCTTAGCTTCTCTCATAGAACAACATTCTTTGCCGGTTCGCTGCTATGCTTACCACGTAGCTCGCACCAGGTCTTGATCAAGTTACTACCAGGAAGTTTATGAAATATGCTCATTTAGGATCCATTGCGGGTAACTATTGAGAAGTGGAAATATATACGGAGAGATTAATCGCCGGAGAAGCCAAAACATTTTGCTGGTCCTTCCGAACTTAGTCGGCGATATATCATGGGTGGACCTGTCGATGCTGACTTACCTCCAACCCCGCACACTGATAAAGACTCCGTGGAAGTACCAAGCTCAGAAGCGCATACTATGACGAGCGACTCGGTTGATCCAAGCGGGAGCGGCGGTAGCGAAAGGACTGATACACGTGGAGAGAAACGGAGGAGGAGTTTGAGCTGTGACGATTCGGACCGGCGTGAAGCACAAAAGAACGGAACAATGCGAGACGGAGAGGAAGAAGCGCAGGAGAACGGCGGAGTTAAGAGACCGAGGCTCACAAGTCTGATTGAGAAGAGCCGTCGAGACGACGACGGAATCGTAACCTACGACCGGGGTAACAACGAGAGTGATACTAAGGAGGGTGATAATGACGCAGATCCAGCCCTGCGAGCGGACAATGCCAAGGGGGACTCTGACACCCCCAAACCAGAGTTTACAGTATCGAAGATGGGGATAGCGGGTACGACCGATGACGGTACGGTCGACGTGGATGAAGATTCCGAGAAGGTTCCTGCCGCTTCGATTCTTCCTTCGACAGATGTGGATGGAAAGGGAGCAACGAATCTTGACCGTGCAGCTGCGACTGCTGCTGCTAGCGGAGCAGCGTCAGCTTCTAACGCGGATAATTTGGCCGCTACAGTGACAACATTCGTCAGTACTAGCACTCAGGACATCAGCTCTCCAGCACGTCAGGACCTTGACGCATCTGACGGTGTAGGTTCGTCCCGTCAACCGTCCGGTCCCCTTGCATTCGCCACCGCTTCTCTTACCGCGGACAAACCTCTTCGAGATGCTGACCAGGAGCTAATACCGCGTACGATCGCTCCGCCTGCTGACATCTCGGCGTCTCCGCCTGCAGTAGCGGCGGGTGAGGGGGACGCGGGAGAGTCCGCGGAAGGGGAGGTGAAGGCGGAAGATTCGGCGAAAGGGGAATGGGAGGCGGAGGAAGAGGTGAAGGAGAAGGCTGAAGTGGGTGTTCGGAAGGGGAAGGAGGAGGCGGCGGGTTCTGCTGAAGAGAAGGAGGAGGTGCAGGGAGAGGCGGAAGAGATGGAGGGGGAGATGAGGGAAGGTGGAGTTGTGAAGAGAGAGCGCGTGGGGGGCAGTCGCATTGAAACCGACGGTGTGTTTGGAGGTAATGCGCAGGGCGATGCAAAGAGCAGCAAGGCGGAAACGGGTATCACCCAAGGGGAGGGTAAGGCACACGGAAGACAAAGGAACCAGGAGGTGCAGCAGCAGGGGGAGGAGGAGGAGGAGGAGGAGGAGGAGAAGCTATCATCACAGCCGTTGGTGGAGGTGGCATCTGCAGAAAAGGAGAAGAACGCAGGGCACCAGGAGCACAAGGAGCAGCAGCTTCCTCCAGTGGTGGAGGTGGTATCTGCAGATAAGGAGAAGAACGCAGGGCGCCAGCAGCACCAGGAGGAGCAGCAGGAGGAGCAGCAGGAGCAGCTTCCTTCCGTGGTTGAGCTGGTCTCTGCAGGGGGGGAATCACCCCAGCAGGGACAGTGTGTGGTGTTGCCAGTGGACGCAGTCGTGTGCGTTGAACAACCGCCGCCTGCTCTGGAGTCGACTGGAAAGTCACTGCCTGCTCTGGAGTCGACCGGAAAGTCACTGCCTGCTCTGGAGTTGACCGGAAAGTCACTGCCTGCTCTGGAGTCGACCGAAAAGTCGCCGCCTGCGGATGCTGTTGCGTGCATTGAGCTGCCTTCTGTTGATTCAACGCAGATTGCACTGCCAGTCGGTGCAGTCGTGTGTGTTGCGCCGCCTGCTCTGAAAGGTTCAACTCAAGATGTGCTTCCTCTGGACGCAGCCGTGTGTCTTGAAGCGCCTGCACCCGATTCAACTCAGAAGCCACTGCCACTGGACGCAGTTGTGTGCATTGAAGCGCCTGCACCCGATTCAACTCAGAAGCCACTGCCACTGGATGCTGTCGTTTGCGTTGAGCCGCCTGCCCTGAGCTCAATGCAAGATGCGCTTCCACTGGACGCAGTCGTGTGTGTTGAAGCGCCTGATCTCGTATGTGGACCGATTGCCCCTGTTCAGCCTGTTGCACCGTCTCCTTTGGCAGTGCTGCCGGCCTACACGCCTGCTGTGTCGGTGGTATCTGACGGCGCTGATTCGCCCCAGCAGACGCTGCTGCCGCCGCCACCGCCAGTGGTTGAGGTGGTTTTGAGTGGTGCTGATGGGTCAGGTTCGGCTGCTGCTGTGCTGCCGGCCTACACGCCTGCTGTGACGGTGGTATCTGACGACGCAGCGTCCTCCGAACAGCCTCTGCTGCCGCTGCCTCCAGCAGTCGTTGAGGTGGTTTCGAGTGGGGCGGACGGTGCAGCCTCTGTTGCTGTGCTTACAAGTGAGGCTCTGCTGACTGCCAGTGGGATCGTCAGTGTTGTGCGCGCTGGCAGTGAGGAGAGGGCATGCGAGGAGCAGGAAGAGGGGGCAGGCGGTGAGCTGGAGAAGGAGGGGAAGGAGAAGGAGAAGTCAGTGCCTGCTGCTGTGCTTCATCCGGGGGAGGCTCTGCGGACTGTCAGTGGGATCGTCAGTGTTGTGCGTGCTGGCAGTGAGGAGAGGATCGGCGCGGAGCAGAAAGAGCTGGAGAGGAGTAGGAATGCGGAGCATGCGAAGGCAGTGAGTAGGACGGTGGAGGAGGGGGGAAATATGCAGGAGAAACAGGAGGATGAAAGTGGGCACAGAGGCGCGATTGCTGAGAAGGAGACGAATGGAGCGGGGCAGGCGAAGCGGGCACAGGAGGAGCAGGCACTACCTTTGAAAGAGGGAGCCTCGGGCCGGGAGGATGCTGAGGGGGAGAAGGAGAAGGAGAAGGAGAAGGAGAAGGAGAAGGAGAAGGAGAAAGAGCAATTGAAGGAGGCGAAGGAAAAGGAGGAGGGGAAGGAGAAGGGGAAGAATACGAGGGGGGTAGAGGGTGGCAATGGCAAGGGGGAGTTGTTGGAATGTAGCAAGGGAGAGAATGAGGCACTTGAGTTGACTCAAGCGGATGGTGAGGAGGTGGAGGAGAAGGGTGGCGACGGGACGAGCGATGAGGGAGTGGTGGTGGGGAATAGGAAGGGTGGGGAAGAGAGGGATGAGAAGATTGTTGAGAGCAAAAGCAAGAGGGCAGCTGGGGGTGATGGGAGTGGTGAGAATGAAGACTTAGGTGAGAATGAAGACGTAGGTGAGAAGGACGAGAGAGGTGTACTAGATGAGGCTGCGAGCGATGAGGTGAGGGAATTAGGGAAAGAGGAGGGAGGATTAAGGAAGCAGGATGGTACCATTGAGGATACGGAAGGGATGGAGGTAGATGATAAGAGGGGCGAGGAGAAGGGAGAGGAGAAGGGTGAGGAGAAGGGAGAGGAGAGTGGGGGTAGAGAGGAGATGGAGGAAGAGAAGGTGGAGAAGCGAGAGGAGGGAGGGAAGGAGAAGGGAGAGGGGAAAGGGAATGAGGAGAAGGGAGTGGAGGGAGAGGAGAGAGGAAAGGAGGAGAAGAGAGGAGAGGGAAGGGAGTCGATGGAAGGGAATGCGGGTGTTGCTGAGGGGGATGGTGTTGCGAGTGGCAATGCCGATGCCTCACAGTTAGGCCCCAGTGATGAGGGGGACGATGCAATGATGATTGATGAGAAGAGAGGAGAGCAGAGGCACGTGGCAGAAGGGAGAGGAGAGAGGGGAAGGCGAGAAGATGCGGAGGAGGAAGGGAGCAAGAAGGGCGAAGGCGAGGGTGGTAGAGGGAGTCAGCAGGTGAGTTTGGCTTCGACCGAAGAAGGGAAGGAGCCTGAAGGAGTGGGTTTCGCTGCAGCGACGGATAGCCCTATAGTTCCCACTCCAACTGATGCAGATGCTCCTGCTGCTCCTGCTGCTCCTGCTCCTGCTGCTGCTGCTGCTGCTGCTGCGGATTCTCCTGCGGAAGCAGCTTCTGCAGCAGCAGCTTTTCCTGGTGCGGCAGGTCCAGCTACAGAGGGTGTGGGGGGGGTGGTTACAAAGAGGAACGAGGGGAGGAAGATGCGGGAGTGGGACGAGCGGATGCATGCATGGGATGGCATCATGCGCGCATGGCATGGGCGCATGGTGGCGTGGACTGGGGTCATGGATGCTTGGAGGGTGCACAGACGAGAGCAGAGGAGGAAGCAGAGACGGGAACAGAGGCGCACACAGAAGCAGAAGCGGAAGGAAGAGCAGAAGGAAGAGCAGAAGGAAGAGCAGACAGGAGAGGAGATGGTAGATGACAAGGGGCGTGTTGCGGCCGCTGCTGGAGCCAGCAGCGATGCTTATGTTTCTGGGGATGATAGTGACTCCAGTGGTAGTGACAGTAGCGAGGATGATACTACTGAGGTCTCGCAGCTCGGTGGTATTGGTAACCCTGTTACGGGTGCCCTGGCTGCTGTCTCTGCTGCAGAGTCCGTAGCAGCTGCAGCAGCAGAAGCAGCAGCAGCAGCCACAGCAGACGCTGCTGCAATCCTAGGGCCAGCTAAATTCGCCACAGCCATAGACGCCGCTGCTACAGCTGCTGCTACAGCCGGCGCTACATTTGGCGCTACAGCCGGGGCAAGAGCCGCTGCTACAGCCGGCGCTACAGCCGGCAGCGAGTGGCAGTGGGGCATGCCTGCCGGCCTGCCTCAGCACCTACCGGCTCAGTTCCAGAAGCAACGGCTGGTCGAGTTCTGCAGGCACGCAGCAGAGCAGGAGGAGAAGCTCTGGGTTCCTGCTACAGCTGCTACAGCTGCTGGGGTTGTTGGGGCTGCTGGGGCAGCTGGGGCAGCTGGGGTTGCTGGGGTTGCTGCGGCTGCTGGGCTTGCAGGGGAGGAGAGACCATCTGGGACGGAGCTAGCGATAGTGCCTGTGGAAACAGGCTATGAAGGGAATGCTGGCTACGAGGGGAATGAGCTGTATGAGCGTGCGCTGGTTGCCGCAGGAGGAGTGTATGGGGCCGGTGACGAGCAGAGAATAGGGGGTGGAGGTGTGGGGAGGGGAGGGATGGGGGTGGGGGAGAGTAAAGTAGGGAGCAGTGGTGGGAAGGGGTTGGGCAGGAGCAGGCGCAGGAGCAGAGGGAAGGGTGTGGAGGGGAGTCCTGGGAAGAAGACGAGAGAGGACGCAGAGGCAGGCACACGGGAGGAGCACCTTTACCACTACTATAACCAGCAGCAGCAAGTGCAGGGTTACATGGAATACCAAGGGCAGGAGCCGCAGAATGGGAGCGCAGCAGCAGCTGCAGCAGCAGCAGCAGCAGCAGCAGCAGCAGCAGCGCAGGGCAGTGGGAGTCACAACTCGGGAGGCCACGGCCGTGGGGACGGGCACAGCAGTGGCGGGGGTGGAGGAGGAGGGGGAGCAGGAGCGGGAGCAGCAACAGCAGGTGGGAATCACGGCACCAGTGGACGCTCATGGCATTTCTCAGGATACCCTGGCGTGTCTCGAAACGGGCGGAAATGGTCGGCTAAGGTATCTATGAACTCTCAGCAGAGAGCCAGATACGGGGTGTGCCAGAACATGCACTGCGGGCAGTGGGAGGAGGTGGAGCAAGCAGCAGCGGCGGCCGAAGCAGCGTGTTTTGTTTTCAAGGGAGGGAAGGGGCGGACGTGGAAGTTTCTTACTGAGCAGCAGAGGGAGGTGTTAGGGGGAATGGATCCGGATGAGGGGATGTGGCTGATTAAGGCGAAGAGGTGGAGGGAGTGGAATGAATGGCAGCCGAATAAGACTGGGTGGGTGAAGGGGATGGGGTTGGCTGAGTGTGGGGATGGGCATGGGGTGGGGGGCGCGCAGCAGGAGGAGCACGGGGAGGGGGAGGGGAATGAGGGGCACGGGATGGGGGGTCATGAGGGGCAGGGGGAGGGGAATGAGGGGCAGGGAGAGGGGGAGAGTCAGGAGGGTGCGCCAATGATGTTGGAGTGGCATGAGGGGTGGGAGGGGAGGCATGCGGATGGGCAGAGGGAGGAACAGAGCGAGCAGGAGAGGGAGCAGCAGAGGGAGAGGGAGAAGGAGTGGGAGAAGGAGAAGGAGGAGAGGGAGAAGGAGAAGGAGAAGGAGAAGGGGAAGGAGAGGGAGAAGGAGAAGGAGAAGGAGAAGGAGAGGGAGAAGGAGAGGGAGAAAGAGAGGGAGAAAGAGAGGGAGAAAGTGAGGGAGAAGCAGGAGAAGGAGCAGCAGGAGAAGGAGAGACACCAGCAGGAGAAGGAGAGACACCAGCAGGAGAAGGAGAGACACCAGCAGGAAGGTGAAAGGTGGAAGGGCAAGGAGCGAGAGCAGCATGTGATGCAGGAGAAAGCGGAAAAGGAGGAACAAGAACCGCGGGGGTTGAAACTCGACCTGAATGCCCAGCAGCCCCTGAATCTCTACCCCGAACCTCCTCCCCCTCCGTCCATTCCTGCTCCGCCTCTTTCCACTCCTCCTTTTCCTCCTCAAGTTGCTCCATCCCCCCTTGTTGCAGCACCCTCCGCATCCCATCCAATGCTTTTTCCCCCTTTTGCTGGATCACAACAGGGTACACCCATGCTACAGCAGAGCACACCCACGTTGCAGCATCAGCATCAGCAGGGCATTCCCGTGTCGCAGCATCAGCATCAGCAGAGCAACCCCACACTGCAGCATCATCAGCCTGTGGCGTCCATTCGCGAGCTGCTGGCCATGCCCCGCACCTTCTCTGTTCCCCCCCCTCCTCCTGCCGTGGACAATGTGCCGAGTCAGCAGGGCCAACATAGTCAACAGAGTCAACAGCAGCAGCACCCGCAGCAGCAGCAGCAGCAGCAGCAGCAGCAGGCACAGCAGCAGGTGCCAAGTTTCGTTCTCTCCCTCCCACCTGCATCAACCCCGCCACTGCACCCTCCTCCGCTGCACCCGTCTCTGCTCCCTCCCCCACAGGCCTTCCTGCAACAGCATGAGGGTACACTAGGCCTCTTTCCTCCCATAGCTCTTCCTGCCCATCCTGCCACTCCTGCTGCTGCTGGTACTGGTGGTGCTGGTGGTGGTGGTGTTGGTGGTGCTGCTGCTGGTCTTGCTGGTTCCGCTGCTGCTGTCGCAACGCCTCCTCCTGCTTCTGCCGCCACCACTCTCACCATTCCTCCTCCTACCGCCGCTCCCGCTCCCGCCCCTGCCTCTCCCCCTCCCCCTACCCCCACCGCAACCACCCTCCCGCTCTTCTCCTCCAACGAGTCAGCTCATAACGAGGCATGGCCGCATGAGTCGTTCAGCCAGCATCAGCGTGTAGCAAGGATAAGGGAGATGCTGGGATCTTCATTTGGTGCGCTCAAGAGTAAAGGGCTTGGGGAGAGTTCTTTGGGGGTTGATTCTTTGAGTGGGGGTTCCTTGGGTGGTGGTGGTGCCGGTGGTGCTCGTGGTGATGGTGATGGTAATGGTGGTGGTGGTGGTGGGTCGATAAGTGCTGGGACTTCGCTAAGTGGTGGTATGGGTTTACCGTGGGGGGGGACGAAGGCGGTTGGTGGTGGTGCCGCTGATGGCGCTGGTGGTGGTGGCGCTGCTGCTGCTGCTCCCAGCATGACCCCTCCTCCTTTTTCTTCGCCCCCTCCTCCTCCTCCCCCTCTCCATCCTATCAGCAGCTCTCATGGTCCTATTGCTGCTCCTACAGGTGCTGTTCCTGCTACTGCGGGCAGCAATGCACCCTTCCCTTGGCTATCTGTCCCCACGCCAGGGAGTGTGCTCCCACCTGCACATTCACCTGCTCATACCCCTGACCCGCACGCTGCTGCTGTTGCCGGTGCCACAGGTGCTGCTACAGCCGCGGGAACCACAGCAGACGGGCAGTCTGCCGCTCCTGCTACAGAAACCACCGCAGCTGCTGCAGCAGCAGCTGCAGCGTTGAACCCGGCGAATCACGGCCCAAGACCAGCCTCGGGATACCTCGGAGTGGTGAAGAGCGGTCGAAAGTGGGCCGTGCAACTATCAATGAACATGAAGCAGCGAGCGAGCTACTCTGTAGGCCATATTCTCAACTGCGGAGTTTGGGACGACGTGGGGGAGGCAGCAATCGCAGCAGAGGCGGCTTATCTAGTGCTGAAAGGGGAGAAGATCGAGTTTAGATTGCTGAGTGAAGAGCAGAAGAGGAGGCTGAGGCAGATGGGACCGGATGAGGCAGTTAGGATTATTAAGGAGAGGAGGTGGAAGGTGTGGAGGGATTGGCGGGCGGGGAAGGAGGGGGATGGGACGGGGTGGTTTGTGGGGGAGGAGGGAGGGGAGGAGAGGGGGGAGGGATGGAAGGTGGGGATGGGAGAAGGGAGGGGAGAGAGGGGCCGGGAGGAGGAGGAGGAAGGATGGGAGCGGCAGGATGGGATGGAGGAGGAGGAAGGGAGAGGGAGGGGGAGAAGGGGGGGAACGGAGGCTGTACCTGCATATACTCCTCTCTCCCTCCTTCCGCTGAGCCCCATGCGTCATCCCTCTCATCCCTCCTCTGCCCGCTCCTCTCCTCCCTCCTCCTCGGCTCCTTCTCACTCAGAGCACGCTTTCCCTGGCCCTGCAGCAGCAGCAGCAAGAGACGACAGGGTCCTTCCAGAGTCGGGTACAGGAAGGGAGAAGCAGCACGGGCAGAAGCAGCAGATTCAGAACGAGTTTGCGTCATCCCTGTCGCTATCCTTGAACGCCTCTCCTCCCAGCGACCATGTGAGAGGCTCCGGGAGGATGGCAAAGAGAGAGGAAGAGGAGGAGCGGGAGGAGGAAACTGGGATGACAGGTAAGGCCTCAGGCATGGGGCATGAGTATCACAGACACAGGGAGAAGCAGAAGGGGCACGAGAGGGGGCACGAGATGGGGCACGAAAGGGGGCACGAGAGGGGGCACGGAAGGGGCCATGGGAGGAGGCATCAAGGGGGAGAGCATGAGCATGAGCATGAGCAGGATAGCGAGCGTGAGTTCAAGAGGGCTCGACGCGCGCATAGTGACGAGGATGTGGCAAGCAGAGAGAATGAGTATAGCGATGCTGCTGTGACACAGCGGGAACGAGAACGAGAACGAGAACGAGAACGAGAACGAGAACGGGGACAGCATGGGAGGGAGGCGCATTACCCAGAGTCCTCGCAAGCTCTCGTTCTGATTGGCTCTCCAGCGCACCGACACAGCACACCGGAGCAGCACAGCTCAGCGCCCAGTCACCGCGAGTCAGCGCTGGGCCATGCTGACTCAGCGGCTGGTCAGCACGGGGCAGGGCCAGGTCACTCGACCCTGCCGCAACCCCCGGGGGAGGGGTACGCGTCTGGTTACTTTGGCGTGTTTCGTAACGGTAAGAAGTGGTCTGTGAAGGTTCCTATGGACGCTAAGCAGAGAGCCTTATATGGGGTATATCAGAAGCTGCACTGTGGCCAATGGGAGGATCTATATGAAGCAGCAGCGGCGGCGGAGGCGGCTTATTATGTGTTCAAAGGGGAGGGGAAGAGGGAGTTCAGGTTCCTAACTGAAGGGCAGAGAGAGATGTTGAGTCACATGGGGGCGGATACTGCTGTTTGGTTGGTCAGGGAGAAGCGGTGGGCTGAATGGAAGGAGTGGAGAGGCGAGCGGGGACCTATTCAGGCCCACTTGCCACAGCAGCAGCTGCAGGAGCAGCAGGAGCAACAGCAGCACCGGCAGCACCAGCAGCAGCAGCAGCAGCAGCAGCAGCAGCATCACCAACACCGGCCGCAACAGGAACAGCAGCAGCAGGCTAGCCAGGGGTGGTGGGAAGGGCGAAATGAGGGTGGGCTGTTGAAAGCGAAGGAGGAGGAGAGGAAAGATGGAGAGGGGAGCGGCAGTAGGAACTGGTTACAGCAGGGGCAGGGGCCAGGGCAGGGACAGGGGCAGGGGGGAGGGGAGCAAGTGGGTCTGTCGCTACCCCAGCAGTGGCAACAGCAGCAGCAGCAGCACCATCAGCAGCAGGTGCAAGCGCAAGGGTGGATGGGGCAGGTTCCAATGCAGCAGCAGGGTAGCATAGCAGCACATCAGCAACAGCAGCAACAGCAACAACAGGAGCATCAGCAGCAATTTCAGGGGCTGCAGCAGCCACTGTCCCAGCCTATGCAGCAGCAGCAGTGGCCGCAGCAACAATGGCATCAGGGACAGCAGCAGCAGCAGCAACAACAGTGGCAGCAGGGACAGCAGCAGCAGCTGCAAGCACAGCAACAGCAGCAACAGTGGCAGCAGCAGCAGCACGCGCAGCAGCAGCATCAGGGGCAGCAGCAGCAGCCACTATCCCTAGTTCCACTGCCCACACAGAAGTCCCCTCTGTCCCTCATCCCTGCCACTGCTGCTCCATCTGCCCCTCAAGCAGCCAAAAGCACCCCTACGAGCGCAGACGAGAGGGACCTAGCAGAAGGAGAGGAGGGTGAAGCAGGAGGTGGTGCTGCTGGTGGTGGGGGTGGGGGCGGTAACTCAAGCCATGTCTCCTGGGCGTCGGGGTACTATGGAGTGGCAAGAAACGGCCGGAAATGGGCAGCGAAACTTTCGATGAACGCTGACCAGAGGCAGAGGTACGCGGTAGGAAAAAGCATCCACTGCGGGCAGTATGAGGAAGTTTTGGAGGCGGCAGCGGCGGCCGAAGCGGCGAATTTCGTGTTCAAGGGAGGGAAGGGGCGGACTTTCAAGTTTCTGACTGAGCAGCAGAGGGAGGTGCTAGGGGAAATGGATCCGGATGAAGCGATGGTGATGATTAAGAATAAGACTTGGAAGGATTGGAAGGACTGGCGGCCGGGAGGGGTTGTGGTGAGCGGAGAGGTGGAGGGAGGGGGAAGGCGGGGGAGGGGCGGGAGTGGGGGAGGTGGCTGGAGGAGGGGGTGGGATGGTGTCTGGGGTGAGGGAGATGGGGAGTGGAGCAGGAGGGGCAGCCCTTGGGGGGATGGAAGTAGGGGTTGGAGCAGGAGGTTTTGGAGGAGGAGTAGGGGCGGGGGCAGGCTCGGGAGTAGGTTCGGGAGCAGGTTCGGGAGCAGGGGGAGGAGTGGGAGGAGAAGCAGCAGCAGCAGCAGGGGGGTTTCCAAGCGGGTTTGTGCATGGAAGGATGGTGGTGGGGGGTGGGATTCACGAGGAGAGAATACAGTCAGGGAGCATTCCCATGCAGCCGGGAAGCATTGCAATGCAACCCGGAAATGTCGCCATGCAACCTGGTAGCAGTGGGAATTTTCTTGCTTATCCACCAGGGGTGGGGAATGTGACTGGTGCACAGGGTATGGGTCAAGATGGGGGGAGAGGAAGGGGAAACGTGAGGAGGGAGGAGGTTCAGGAGGAAGAGAAGAATTCGGATGAGGAGGAGGGAACGGGGGCGAAGGAGTGGAAAGAGTATGTTTTGCGGCTTGCCATGGGAAGTGGATAAGTGATCGAGGGGATACTGCGATCCAGAAATGGTATGCAGTACAATCCAGATTATATTTCTTGGGCTGATTTTATCAGGGTAATTACCCTGATTTCAGGGTGATTTCAGACTTGTCACTTTCTGGACCCAGAGAAATCAGGTTTTTCACATTTTGGTCCCTGATCCATTCAGAGTAATGTGACACGACTTTCAGAGGAGTGTGCAGTGCAGTCGTCATAGGTCCCGAGGTAGGTAATGAGACTAGGTGGTAGGTCCCGAGGACCTGCCTAAAGGTAAAGGAGAATGTCTCCTTTACAGCAAACCCCTCTTCAAGTCGAACCACAATCTGTAAAATTTTTTGTTACAAAAAATTTCTCATATTGCTTTAGCGGACCCTGAAATTTTGTGTACATTCTCAGTGTAGGGTTTTCACGGACCCTGTCAATACAGAGTACGAGGCCTGTGGACCCTGAATGCAATGTTGTTGGGGCGAAGTTTCTCGGAAATTTCCTCCCGATAACCCCTTCGCATTGATTTCAGTGCCCCCCCCCCCCCCCCCCCCCCCCCCCCCCGCTCGCTTTATCGAGACGAAGTTTCTTCAAAGTTTCGTTCCCATACACCCACCATCTAGATCGGGCGAATCTGTAATGTCAGATTGTAGGTTGCTGTTATTGGTCGAAATAGATGTGCTCTAACACAGTGCCAGTCACATCGCCACAGTGCCAGTCACTTCTGTCCTCGGTAAAGAAAGAGCGCGTTACTACGACCCTGATTTTCAATTCTCGACCTTGAACATTCAGAGTTCACTACTTCTCAACCCTGAGCAATCAGGGTGCTGTTTTTCTGGAAAATGTGCCTTCATGGTAAAATTTTTTTTTTGAAGGTTGAAATCAGGGTACCTAAATTTGAAAAGTCAGCCCTGCTTGGGATAAGCTGTAGTTATATTTTTTTTGGCGATGTTCTAGAGAGTATGGGATGCATTATTGTTGAAAGTCTTCTTGCATGTTACATGTATGATAACCCATCCATGATATGTTGATCCATTGTTACGAGTGCAATTGAGTGAACGAACGAGAATTGCACTATCGAAGCAAGAATACAATGAGCGAAGGCATGAGCGAATAATATATAGCGAAACTACAGCGGTAACGGTAATGGGCTGTGGTTGTCGCGCGACGAGCCTGGGACTGAGGTTGGGCCTGGAGCGCGGGTTACCCGCCGAGCCGTGAGGTCGGGATGCGATGTGCGAAAATGGTGGAATGATTGTCGATGCGATGATCGCGAATTCTGTGACTCAGGATTTTGTCGGGGGTGATGATGGGTTCGGATGGTGGTCGTGCCATGCTGGATGGTCGGTGTCGTGGGAGTTGGCCGGTGGACGGTACGTAAGGGCGAAGTAAGCTGACGTGGAACGAGGGGCTGACGTACCAGTCAGCAAGGAGGAGGAGGTGTGCGGTGACAGGCGTGATCATGTGGCTAATCCGGAATGGCCCACAGTATCGGGGGCGGAGTTTTGGAGTTACGGGTAGGCGGAGGTTTTGAGTGTCGAGTAAAACGAGGTCGTCGGGCTGATAAGTGACAGGTCTGCGGTGGCGGTCGGCGTTGCGTTTAGCGATGATGTTCGATTTTTTTATTGCTTCGGCTGCCCTGGTCCGTGCTGCTTGCAAAATCTCGGCGAATTGTTGTGCACGTGGAACGGGGTTGTCGGGATTTGGGGTCATGGGTACTGTGGGGTCTTGTCCGTAATTCATGTAGAATGGTGACTGTTGGGTAGTTGCGGATGGCGCGTTGTTGTATGCGAATTCCATGAGTGGCAGCTGCTGTTCCCACGTGTTTGGGTCGTCGCACGTGGCCCTAATGAGTTGCTCCATGGTCTGGTTTGTCCGTTCTGTCTGTCCGTCGGTTTCGGGATGATACGATGAACTGAATTGTAGTCGTGTGCCGAACTGCTGCCACAGGTTCCGCCAGAAGTTGCTGGTGAACTTCGTGTCTCTGTCGCTGATGATCGATGCTGGTATCCCGTGCAGTCGAACGACGGTGGAGATGAAGAGGCGGGCTCTTTCCTCGGCTGTGATTGATTTTTTGCAGGCTGCGAAGTGTGCCATTTTCGTCAGTCGATCGACGACGACCAAGACCGCGTCATTCCCATTCGCCCCGGCCGGTAACCCCGTGACGAAGTCCATCGTCACTTGCTGCCATGCACGCTCTGGGGGTGGGATCGGCTGCAATTGCCCCGCCGGCCGCTTCCTGGTTGACTTCATGATCTAGCAAGTGGGACACGACGCCACATGTCGTTGCACGTCGGTCAACATTTCGGGCCAGTAATAATACCGCTGCAGCTGCTACCGTGTTTTTTCCACTCCGAAATGTCCCGAGGTAACTCCGTCGTGTGCCTCCTGTAACAGTAATTCCCGTAGTAGTGTGTACCCTGGTACCCAGATGCGGTCGGTTCCAGTTTTTACGTAATAGACTCCCTTGGCTGCTGCGAATTGCTGCGGGTTTCCTCCTGTGAAGAATGGGTCTGTTTGATATCCGTGGGTAAATAGTCCTGTTAGTAGCGGGCTGGTCTGGGCAAGTAGGATCGCATGGATCTGGGCAATGGGGCGGGTCAGTGCGTCGGCGATATTCGAGGCTCCTTTTTTATATGTGACTGTGTAATGGAAATTTGACTCGAGAAAATCGAGCCACCGAATCTGTCGTGGGTTGAGGTGGGGCTGTGCACGGAGGTACTGTAGGGATCGATGGTCTGTCCGTACTGTCACGTCTGCGCCGGTCAAGTAGCAGCGCCACACTTTGAATGCATGCACGATCGCGAGCATTTCGCGGTCGTGTATCGGGTAATTTCGCTCGGGCGGATGCAGTTTGCGTGATTCGTAGGCGATGGGTTGGAGGCCGTTGCCGAAGTCCTGTAACAGTACGGCTCCGATGGCGATGTCGCTCGCGTCTGTAACAACCTCGAAGGGGCGATGTGGGTCAGCGATGCGTAGGACGGGTGGTGAACAGAGAACAGTTTTCAGGGCAGAGAAGGCGGCATGCTCTTTCTCCCCCCACGTAAAAGCGACCCCTTTACGAAGTAAATCTGTGAGCGGGGCAGTTAAGCGCGCCATGTCGGGGACGAACCGACGGACGTAATTAACGAACCCTAAAAAACTCTGCAGTTCCGTGATGTTCGTCAGGGGACGCCACGCTTTGACAGTATCCAGCTTCTTAGGGTCGATTTCAACCCCAGCCTCCGAAATAACGTGTCCTAAAAATTCTAGCCTGTCCCGAAAAAACTCGCACTTGGAGCCCTTGGTGAGTAATCGATGTTCCGCTAAAATTTTAAAAACTGCTTCGAGATCGACTAAGTGCTGCTGTTGGTCGCGACTGTAAACGAGGATGTCGTCGAGGTAAACTATCACGCATTTATCTAAAAGTGGCCTAAACACCTCGTTCATGGTCATCTGAAATGTTGCGGGTGCGTTGGTCAGCCCGAAAGGCATCACCGTGTACTCGAATGACCCGTACCTAGTTCTAAATGTTGTCTTGGCGCAGTCCGATGGTTCGACCCGAATCTGATGGTAACCCCCCCGTAAGTCTATTTTCGAAAATACCCGTGCTGTTCGCAGCTGGTCGATCAGTTCGTCGGCGCGGGGGATGGGGTACCGCGATTTGACTGTTACCCTGTTGAGCGCTCGGTAATCAATGCACATGCGAAAGCCTCCGTCTTTTTTCGGTGTGAACAGTATCGGTGCGGCGAACGGTGACGAGCTCGGTCGGATAAACTGCTTCTCTAACAGATAATCTAACTGCTTCCTTAGTTCGTCGAGCTCGGGCTGTGTCCGTCTGAACTGGCGCTGTACAGTTGGCTGTGCCCCCGGTTCTAACTCGATCCTATGGTCATGTGCCCGCTGAGGTGGCAGTCCTTGCGGTAAGTCGTCTGGAAAAATCCCCGAGTACCGTTTCAACAGTTCGTGAAGTTCGGGCGGTACTGCTGCCAACAGTTTCTGAAAATCGCTAGGCTGTTCCTCTTCTCCTACTAATGCTATACCTACTGCGTACACGTCAACTCCCGTGGCGACAACCCGTTTCATCGTGACGGCGTTGACGTGGACCGTTGAAGACTCGGGCGACTGCCAGCGAGGTAATTCGACCCAGTTACCATTACTTCGCACGGTGCAGCTACCCGTCGTCCAGTCGATTCGCGGGTTATATCGTCGCAGCCTATCACGTCCCAATAAAATGTCGTGCCCATCCAGTGTCGTCGCGAACACTTCCTGTGTAAATCCGAAGTTCCCCCCGCAGCGGACTTTTACTCGCTCCACCTTTTCCCGTATGGCGAGTGGCGTGCCGTCGACTAAGCGTGCGTCTATTTCCGGTAAGCGACGGTTAAGTGGTAACTGCAGTTTCCTTGCGGTCGCGGTATTAACTAAACTGTGGCTTGCTCCTCCGTCAATAAAAATCTTGACTGCTGCTCCCTGTATTTTCCCGTAGATCAGTACTGGGCAATCCGTCGCTGTACCCTCCTTATTCATCCGAGCCCGATCGATGGCGTGAATCGGTACTGTGACTCGGTGAGGGTCGGTGTGGTTGGGCGAGCAGGCAGTCTCGTCAGTAGTTGGCCCAACTTCTACTGACTGCTGGCGTTTCCCTGCCTCTGAGACTCCCTCCCCTGCTCTGCTCCGCGGCGCCTCAGCTCATCTGGGCATTCGCTCTTGCGGTGGCCCGGCCTGTTGCAAGCAAAGCAGCGCCCCTTAAACGGTGCGGCAGCTGCATTCGTTGCAACGGCGTGTACAGTGGCGTGCTCGGTCGGTCCCCGAGGACGATGTCCGTAGTAGGACCCCGGTCTCGGTCGGCGTAGGATATCGATTTTCTCGGCGAGCGCCAGAATCTCGTTGAAGTTAGAGAGTCCGCGCAGCATTATTTCGTGCGAGATATCCGGCTTCAGCCCTCCGACGTAACGATCCACTCGCTCCTCTTCGTGCATATAGCCGACCTGCTCGCAAAGTGCGAGAAAACCGCTTGTGTAGTCTTGAACCGACCCGAGCTGGCGCCAAGTGCGCAATCTCTGACGCGCCGAAATCGAAGCCGCGATCGGCTCGAAACGCGCCCGAAGCCCTGCGCACCACGCATCCCACGTGCTGTATTGGGCGGTCTCGCAGAACGAACTCCAGGTGACAGCTGGACCCGTGGGCCCTTCCTCGTGCGACGGTGGCTCGTAGGCGCGTGGCGACGTCACGATGACTCGCCACCAGTCCATG